AACACCTTTCAGTACCGTCCCCAGCCCTCCTCACCGAGAGAGAGAGATTTTCCTAGGGAGAGTGCTCAGCTGTTAATCCCCCCTGGTGCCTGGTCCCACACACCTGTCTGTGCCCCCTGGGGAACTCAGAACAGGGCTTTGATTTTGGCTTCCCAGTACCCCCCTGGAGTGGGAGAGCAGACCGCCAGTCCCCGCCAGAGGGATGGCAGAACCCCCGTGCTCAGGGGGGCACGCGGCTGAAAGCCCGTCAGAGCAGAGGGCCCCCGAAAGATGGAGAAAGGAAGAGCAAAGCGGAGGAGAGGTGTCCAGAGCTCAGCCCCCTCGGGGACAGGGCCCACAGGCTCGCTTGGCAACCTCGCCCCCTCGCCCTGGCACTCCGCTGCACGTGCGAGGGCGGCGTCAGGGCGCTTGCACTCATGTGAGCGCGTGCTTGTGTACGGGTATATTTGTGTGAACGCAGTGTGTGTGAGTCTGTGTGTTTGTTTGTGTGTGCGTGTGAGGCTGTGTGGATGTGAGTGTGTGAGGCTGCGTGTTTGCTTGTGTGTATGAACATATACAGTAAGTGCGAGGCTGTGCATGTGTATGAGTGTGCAAGGCTGTGCATGAATGTGTGAGATTGTGTGTGTGTGTGAGGCTGCGTGTATGTGAGTGTGCGAGGTTGTGCATATGTGAGGCTGTGTGTGTGCAGGGCTGTGTGTGCGAGGTCGTGTGTGTGAGTGTGTGAGGCTGTGTGTATGTGAATGTGCAAGGCAGTGTGTGAATATGTGAGATTGTGTGTGTGAGGCTATATACGTTAGTGTGCAAGGCTGTGTGTATATTTGAGCTTGTGTGTATGTGTGTGTGAAGCTGTATGTATGTGAGTGTGTGAGGCTGTGTGTGAGTGTGCGAGGCTAGGTGTATGTGTGAGGCTGTGTGTGTATGTGAGTGTGCAAAGTTGTGTGTGTTTGCGAGTGTGCAAGGCCTTGTGTGTGGGGTGCTGTGTGAGTGTGCGAGGCTAGGTGTATGTGTGAGGCTGTGTGTGTATGTGAGTGCGCGAGGATGTGTGTGAGTGTGCAAGGCTGTGTGTGTATGTGAGTGTGTGAGTGTGCAAGG